GGATTTGTGGAACGGCATTTCAAGTTCTTTACGTACCATTGGTTTTCGGAAAATGCAAAAGAACAGCTGGTACGATGAGGAGTGCTTCGTCGCAACGGAAAGAAATCAGACTGCCTACCTCGCAAAGTTACGATTGACCACAACACGTGCAGGATTGATAGCGAGAGTTGAAGAAGGAAGCAAGACCCATTTGCAGACAGAAAGAGAGAGCCCGAAATTCGTGAGTATGAAGGAATCGGCTAGCAAGGGGTTATGGCATCAGTATTTTGGGACGCCAGTTTTAATCTATTTCACTGTGTGTTTGGAGGCATTTCTATTCTAATATTCCAAATATTTAGCAATTGTATTATTTTTTAGGAAGGATAACTAATCTTGAAATTGTACGCATATACTTCATCGTTCCCGTTTAAATATTGCACTGCTCTGTGCAATACTTCGAAATGATTTCTGTATATCTCAAATTATAATAGACCTTTTTATCAATACTCCAATTATTGCGTTATATATTTGTATGCCAGATATTGCATTTTGTTTGTTATAAATGCATATGCGTCTTTCGCCCATAACCTACCAAAGTATCCGTATTGAATTGACGAAAATGTCAATGCTATTTTTTGTTGTGATATTACAGATATCTGACGGGTTCATCCTAAAAAAAAACTGCCTGATTCAGGAGCAAAAGCAGTATATCTCATATTACAAGCATGTATGGATATACAAATTTTTTACTTATTTCATTCTATTTTTGAATTACTAAAATTTTCAAATGATTCTTACATGAATTTTGAACAAATGCTTATAATTTAAAATATAATTTTTGTATTTATGAACCGCTTTTATTATTGCTATTATTCTTGAAGAAATGAAATTTTCAAATGTTTCTTACATGAAATGTCAACAAATGCTTATGATTTAAAATTTAATTTTAAATTATTATGAATTATATTGAATCCACCAATCCGCCTTTGTTTTCGGTGGAATCGTATAATGTGTCCCCAATATTTAAGCACTCTATGTCCTTACCATGGTTCTGAGCTACCTCCCCACCAATTTTCAGCCAAATCGGTTCATGCGTTCTTGATTTATAAATGGTGTAATTAACACGACTTTCGTTTATATACAGTATGTAACACAATTGAGCAAATAAAATCACGATGTAGACTCTTATAAAAAATGTGTATTTAATTTTGATACAATATAATTTTTACCGCATTAATATTTAGTATAGCTTCCTTTGGCCGCAATCCGCCTTTGTTTTCGGTGGAATGGTATAATGTGTCCCTTTTTTTTTAAACAAACCACAGGTTCTCGATAGGATTAATATCGGGACTTTGAGGGGGCCATTCCAAAGTTTCAATTCGTTGACTTCTAAGATACTCCATAGTCACCTTAGCTTTGTGCTTGGGGTCGATGTCTTCCATCAGAACGATTTTGCTACTGTTCAGACCCAGTTTCTCCAACGAAGAAAAATACAATTGCTTTAATATATCTATATACATATTCGCGTCCATATTTCCCACAATTAACATTAGGTCCCCAACACCACTTTTACAAAAGCCACCCCAAAAAAGGACTTTCCCGCACCCAAATTTCAGTGTTGGGATGACATCGGGGCTGGTAATAGTCTTTGATGACATCTTCCAAACGTAATGTATTCCGACTGACCAGTGAAGATTAATCTTGCTTTCGTCTGTCCAAAATACATTCGCCCACTGTTCTGGAGTCCAGTTTCGGATTTTTTAAAAGAGTCAGCAATTTTCTTTATTTTTCTGAAAGAAAACACGAAGTTAAACAGCTTCACAAAACACAATCTTTCTAATTTTACTTACCGTCTATAAAATTAAAAATACTTCTGAAAACGTTAGTTAATTGTTAATAGAGCTACTAGTATTTAAAATACTCGCAAGTTGTATAGTTGGTCTTAGCTTAGCTATTGAGCAAAAGTGCACGTCACGCAAACCAGACGCCAGAAAAATATTGAGAAATTGTAATGTTATATTTCCGTGAAAAAAACTSAACTAGTGTACCTATTCGAATACATATATATTCTTTTCGTAATAAGTTGCGTAGTACCCGAACCATTGTATTCATTAATTTTTGGGACATCTCAAACACCGAAGCTTTGTTTGAGTCATGTTCAGCAATACAATTAGACATTTAAAACTACATTTTTTATTGCTACAAAAATTATTATACTCTTGCAATATATGTCTGTTGGCAAGGAAAAACTTGTTGCCAATTTGATGGAAGCTACGATATTAACTGCTAAATCAAAAGTAGAAGTTTTTATATTGCGTATCCCTATGACTTCAACTGATATGGCATTTCAATGGCTAGAATTTGATTTTAAAATAAAATTTTATTATTATTATTCCTAGTTTATATAAAAACTGTTTCAAATTATTGTTCAACTAAATTGTGGATATACATATGTTTTCAATTGAATGTGAGAAAGCATAAGTAAAAGAGAAAAACTATTTAAGCTTATCGAAATATTAAGTTAAAAGAGAAAAGGCGATACACAATTTTGCAAGACGAAGAATTAATTTTCGGTCTTAATTCATAAATATTTTAATTACGAATAATTATTTTAAATATATGTAAAATGTGTACATTGTTAATTTCTTCGAAGATTGCACCGTTGCCTGCGAATATAAACCGTGCTAAATTTTATGCTGGCAAACCTTACAAAACTTCCCACATCACCTTGAAAGTTAGCCGGAATATAGATTTGTTTGATAAATAATTTGATAATCTAAATAAACATAGTGTATTTATATATATTTATAGATATGTATGTGTCTTGCATTATACAATACGTATAATTAACATTTTCAGAGAATAGACTTCGAAGAGAACGACAAGTTTCGCAATTACGGATTGTATTACTACAATGAAGGCCGTATATCAATTGAAGTGCACAACACTCAATTCACTGGAGCACCCGTTATTTTTGTACCAGGAAATGGAGGTTCTTATAAGCAAGTAAATATATTCAGGATTAGTTCCAAGCATATTAGTACGTAGGTTGCTTTTTGTATTTCAGTATCAGATAACAAGAACGAATAATAATAATATTGATTGTTTTTTTTAAATAATTACATTAAGATCTACATATATGCGTTTGAACGAATTGTCGAAGCACTTTTGCCACTCTGATTAAGGTATCTGGAGATACATGTGTTCTGAACGCATCAACAGTCTTTACAGGGGTCGAAAAGCTTTACCTCTTAGTTCATTTTATATAATGAAGCCATTCGGTGCCAAGTCAGGATTTTACGGTGTATTACTCATTAATTCGATATTTTAAGTACTCAAAAATGCATACATTTCATTCGACGTGTTACAGCTCGTATTGTCGTGGTAAAGAGTTTCGTCTTCACAGGTTGGTTTGCCTGATTTAATTTATTCTGCGTTGCTCAATTGTTTTTACAAAAACCATTTACTTGGAAGTGCTTCGTTTGCGAATACTTTTTGTTGGATTCGGGGTTTTTCAAACACCCACACAGTCGACTTTTGTTTACTTTTGGCCTCGAAAGTATAAATCCACGATTCACGAGCCTTTTTTTTGAGTGATCCACAAATTGTGTGGAATCAAATATTCATGTAATATTGAATGTATGCTGGTACTGCGTTTAGTTTTAACAATCACGATAGGTCATATGATCTTGCAATATTTCCGGAACAACTAATGAAATGAGAGGGCGTACCTCGATTGGATTCACCATATCATTGGTAAACACTGGTCCTTAATGGAGCTACATCGCCAAAAATTGGATTAAATTCATCGATAATCCACGTCAAAATTTGTAAAAAATAATCTCGCAAAAATGTTTTCGATTTAATAATTTTTTTTGCCGAATATTTAACGTGTATGTTAACTACGCAAAAACCAAATACCGAAATATAAAAGGCAACCTACGTATTAATAATAGGACTCTTAACTTTTATAATTTACATACGTTTTTTAGGTACGTTCCTTGGCATCGGTAGCATTGAGAAAAGCCAGAGAAAGTGCTACTGGAATTCATTTGGATTATTTTACTAGTAAATATATTTAACACACTTGCAGTAAAAAAAAAAATAGTGTAAAATGTGAAATTCTTTTATAACTGAAAAAACATTTTTTAATATATTTTCAGTCGACTACAACGAAGAGCTTTCAGCGCTTTATGGTGATTATTTGGAGCGCCAAACTTTATATTTAAAGACTTGTATAAAGATTGTTAGAAAGCTTTATAAAAGTACTGAACAAGCTGCAGTAATTATAGTTGGACATTCTATGGGAGCTGTAGTAGCACAAGCAGTTTTAAGAGATCCAGAATTTTCTAAATTCATCAATACCATAGTATCCTTATCGTCTCCTATAAATAAGCCTATTTTAGTTCTTGATGAAAAAATACATGCATTTTATAAAAGTATAAACAAAAATATATCTGTTAGACGGTCCTCTTTGAAATTAAATAAAAATTCAAATTTTTGTTGCGCTACATGCAGTCGCTTTCTAATAAGCAATCATACCAATAACGCAGATAAAAATTTGAAAAATGTATTGATAATCACAATTGGTGGTGGTAATCGTGATGTACTGGTTCCACCTGGCTTTACAATTTCAAAATATAGCGATATACATGCAATGGTGTGTAGTGTCATTAAGCTAATATATATTTAAACTATTTTTAATGAAATATATAATTATTTTAAAGACAATGTCAATACCTAAAGTATGGTTGAGCTGTGACCATTTGTCCGCAGTCTGGTGTCTTCAGCTGGTGCAGGTTATTAATAGATATATGTTTGACATCTCTGCCAGTGACAAGCAAAATTTCATTTACTTTACTAAGGATAGAATACGTCGGGAGCAGGCTGCCCTTACTCACTTCGTGGTTTGTATTTAAGTTTTGATTTAAAACTCAATATAAAATAATTTATTCCATAGAAATTAAATATAAATCAATCAAAAGAAATAAATATTGAACAGGAAGGTAGACATAACAGTGTATGGCGGGAAGACACTTTAAGAGTATTTTCGAAAGCGTTTAAAGAAGGATCCAAAAGTAATTTTATACAGTTAATTCCACTACGGAGACATAAAAAACATACGGTAAGCATTTAGATTCTGATTAAACCTTTAGTAAAAACCGATAAAATTTCGAAGTTCGAAAAAAGATGTGTAAAAGTTTGCGAAATGGAGGCTTGAAAATACAATTGTTTGTGATTTTTAGAAATTATGCATTGATGTTACTCAATTGGAGTCGGATGACTTTCTTTTTGGATGCACTGTAAAGTCTAGATTTAAAAACGACTGGTTCTGGTAAGAATGTAACATATTCTATAAAATTGAAATTTGATAACTATATAAATAATTTAGCCAGGACAAAGCCTCACTTTCTCATAATTTCCAAATATTGCCATCTATTAAAAATAAAATGCGTTCAGTGGCAATACTAGATATTAACAATTTGAAGAAAACGTACGTAAATTGGACCCATGTTGGTTTCTTCGTTCGTGCTTCTCGCAAACCGGTAAGAACTTATTCAATCGTTAATGTTTGGTTTGTGTAATTATTTTTTCTTCTTAATTGGCCATTTAAAGACATTTTATCTATATATAAGGTCTAGTAAAAAGAAATATCAATTTAGCTTTTGTTTAGCATAGTTATAATCCGATGTAAGTTATGCCACTCTCACAGATAGCTTACATTGGAACACTGGAAAAGTTGCTTTGAAACTTACATTTTTACTAACCCTAATAATGCTGAAAATTTGGATTCTTCATCGTTATTACAATTTAATTTGAATATAAAAATATAACCAATTTAAATATAAATTTTATGAAATAAAACTTAAATGGTTCCTTGAGGAACCATCAGGTGCCTGGAGAACCGCCAGGCGTTTAAGGGTTAAACTATGGAGTTACAAAACAGTACACCTGAAAATAAGTACACCAGAGAAAGTACAAATTTACATTAAGCTTAAAGCTGAATTTATCTTTTATTACGTTTTGAACATATTCATTAACTTTCAACAGAGTGACCCAGAATAACTGTCACTTTGTGGTGTTGCATTGTTTTTTGCCTTACAAAATTGAAGATAAAAATCCTCTTAGTTTTCCAAAAATTCAAATAGCTAACTTTTTTTCAATTAAATAATTTTAAGACCGGCAACGCGATGGAGTTTAACGAGAGCTCTTGGTATATGCGTATAAGACTGTCGAACGATACCAAAATGTTTCCAAAGTAATTGTCTGGGGTAATATGTCAAGACGTCAAAATTTACATAAATTTTTACATGGAACATGTTTTGGAAGGTTTACTATTATCACAAGCTCAGAAGTTGTACGGTACCGATTACTTTTGCTTTCAACAAGATTCTTCCCGTCCCACCAAGCAAAACGCAATTAGCATTGTATAACAGGATTTTGTTGTCTAGGCTATGTTTTGAATTTTTGTTTAAAAGCCAATTTAAATTTGCTCCTCTTAACTTCATACAATTTATTTTACTCGCTATATGTTTTCGCCACGTGAGTATTCGATCCAGATGAATCCCAAGATAAGTTACTTCGCTTTGGGTACTAGGACATTGTTTAATTTAACTGTCCGACACGTTTCTGGTCTTAGCGAGAATGACACATGCTTGCATTTTGGCTCACTAATATATATACGCCACTTGGCTAGCCATTCTTCGACAATTGTTAAGTGCTACTCTAATACTCTTGTTGCTCTGATGGGGCTTTTGTTACGGCTTACTAGAGCTGTGTCTTCTGCAATTGTGCAATTCGTAAGGTAAAATTTTTAAATTTTCCATAAAATAAGCTGAACAATACTCTCTGTGCTCGAATGCTTTCCTGATTTCGTTAGTATTTCTATTCCTTTACTCTACTGTGCCATGTTTAGCACGAAAATCGAATTGGTGCGTTGATATTATATTTTTTTCGTGGTGCAATGAAAATGTGCCCGATTTTACTTCAAGTAAAGAATGGCGTTGCTAGATCTTAATCCTTTTGATTTCCGCATATGGGGATTTCGGCGTTACGGAAGGCTTAAACCTGAGCAAACCAAAGTTCGTTGGAGGAAATTTCGGGATGAAATGGATCAAGATATGTTGCCTGCCGCTTGTAAATCGTTCGTCAAAGGCATGCGTCAAGCGATTGAATAAGAAGGTGAAAAATTTGAACGAACGAACTAATTCCGCAATCTTTGAAGTCTTTTTATCAAATAAAAAATAAAATCATCTGGTTTTGATAACACTTCCTCTTGGTCACATGTACATATGCACTTATGGACAAAGTAATAGGTATAAACAGTTTTTATTTAATACCTTGCGAATATTTGAAATTAAAAATAATTTTGTTTTAGTTATATTATTAAACGTAAACATATCTAAAATTTTATGTTCCGAACTTTAAAACTAATTCTTATTTTTATCAAAATAAGAAATTTCATTGGTCAAAATAATAGGTGTAAAACATTTTTTTCTAAAAAGAAACACAAATTTCAAGTTGTCCTTTATTTCGTCCATGGGTTTTTATAAACTGTATATCCTCCACGTTTTTCATAAATTTTTCTATTCGGCATGAATTGAATTAATTTTGGGGAGATTTCCAATAGGGTAACATCCAAAAATTTTAAATTCCACTTTCCCGTACACACATCAAAAAGTATTTAATATAACGGGAAAAAATTTGTCACTAATAATTTCTTTAAAGTATGCTACCTTATGACAAAAATCATCCGAATCCAAACAAAACTGTTCATGCCCCTATGTACTGAATATGTGGACCATAAGGATCTATAACTGACTTCTTTCCGAAAATATCGGTAAATGTATGCGATATACGAAATTCAAAAACAATCCTTTCCTTACAATGGTTACTCTGTGTATAAAAAATGGTTTGAATCGGGTCAATATTTCAATGAATAGGGGCTCATAAAGATTTTCGAACTTCCAGGTGACTTTACGCTGAATATATCGGCCAATAATTGAGTTATTTTAATGACAATTACAGAACATATTTTACTCATAGCACTATATCTTTGTGCATAAAATGGATATGATTGGGCGAAAACTATAGCCCCATATATCTATTAACATGATTTTCGAACATCCAGTTGACTTTGCTCCATATGATTGGTAATTGTTTGTGAGGCACTTTAATGAATCTTTTTAGTATGTGATATGATAATAATTAATAGATAAAATCGGGCCGATACTGTCCAACTCCTATATACTACGTATAATGATTTTCCTTTTTCTTACAAATCTTATGCCGAAATTGTCGGTCACTGTATGATATGTATATATATGCATGAATGTACTATATATAAAATTGCTTGTATTCTCTGGTTGGCTTTTTACAACGTATTTTCCTGGCTTTAATTCTTGCAAGTTGCAAGTGTATAAAATCTTCGGTTGCACCCAAACTTAGCTTTTCTTACTTTTTTAATATTACTTATACCTATTATTGGCCAACCAAATTTAATGAAACAATTAAAGCTTATCACTCAAACGAAAAATTAACAAGTAAGGAAGGGCTAAGTTCGGGTGTCACCGAACACTTTATATTATCTCAATTTTTACTCAAGTTACAGCTTGCACGAACGGATAGACAGACATCCGGATTTCAACTGTACTCAYCACCCTGATCACTTTGTTATATGTAACCTTTATTGCGAGAGTATAAAAATGATGCCCTCTGAATTACATAAAAATATCAGAGAGATTTACCGATATTTTCGGAGAAAAATTAGGTTAGGTTAGGCACTGAGTTCTTCGTATTCGATATCAGGGACCTTAAAGAGTTATAGTCCGATCACGACAATTTTTCCACAAGGGGAAAATTTACAATTTTATGTATATATTATACAGAGAAGGCATCAGATGGAATTCAAAATAGCGTTACATAGGAAGAAGGCGTGGTTGTGAACCGATTTCACCCATATTTCGTACATGTCATCAGGGTGTTAAGAAAATATTATGTACCGAACTTCATTGAAATTGGTCGAGTAGTTCTTGAGATATGGTTTTTGGTCCATAAGTGGGTGCCGCCACGCCCATTTTAAATTAAAAAAAAAGCCTGGGTGCAGCTTCCTTCTGCCATTTCTTCCGTAAAACTTATTGTTTCTGACGTTTTTTGTTAGTCGGTTAACGCACTTTTAGTGATTTTCAACATAACCTTTGTATGGGAGGTGGGCGTGGTTATTGTCCGATTTCTTCCATTTTTGAACTGTATATGGAAATGCCTGAAGGAAACGACTATAGAGTTTAGTTGACATACCTATAGTAGTCTCAGAGATATGTACAAAAAACTTAGTAGGGGGCGGGGCCACGCTCACATCCAAATATGCCCCTCCCTAATGCGATCCTTTGTGCCAAATTTCACTTTAATATCTTTATTTATGGCTTAGTTATGACACATTATAGGTTTTCGCCATTTTGTGGGCGTGGCAGTAGGCCGAATTTGCCCATCTTCGAACTTAACTTTATTATGGAGCCAAGAAATACGTGTACCAAGTTTCATCATGATATCTCAATTTTTACTCAAGTTACAGCGTGAACGGACGGACGGGCGGATAGGCAGACATCCGGATTTCAACGCAACTCGTCACCCTGATCACTTTGGTATATATAACCCTATATCTGACTCTTTTAGTTTTAGGAATTACAAACAACCGATACATGAACAAAACTATAATACTCTCCTAGCAACTTTGTTGCGAGAGTATAACAACGAGTAATACAAGTTTTGGATGCTTACAGCCCTGACAGACGACAGCGGTAATTTGTATTAGCCGGCTTAATTTGCATTTACTTGTGCATTTGACCCATGTTATTGCAAATTTGTAATGCACAAGAATTTCGTGCATTTAGCTGAATTTACCAAATTTGAGTAGGCAACACTGCTCAAAATTGCCCGATTTTTGCTATTTTTTGACAAATGTCGCTTGAAGTCTGCCACCTACTTTGCATTTGCAGCATCAAAGGTAAGCAGTTTTACCGTGCGATTCTGTACTGTGATACAGTATCAAGTCTCTAAATTTGAGACAATTTTTGAGACTTGAGACGATTTTGCTATTCTGAAAATGATAGTCACAAACTCTATTACATTTCATTATTCAGAGATGCTTTTATACTTGAATGAAAATAAATATGTCGATAACAAATATTAAATTTTCTATATCATAGTCAAAAAACATAATTATCAATAAAAAATAAAAATATATGTTGACTTTGTTTCATAATATTAACGAAATTTATGTAAAATTTATTTATTTTTAACCTTTTCGTGTTTGAGTTGCTTACAAAATATAAAAAACGACAATCGATTAATATCTATGGTGATCTCTATTCAGTATATTCAAAATGGCAGACAAGAGTTCT